GTGCTTAACCACTGAGATACATCCCCAACTCATTTTGCTGTTGTTGTTGTTCTGAGAGAAGGTTATATATATACACACACACACATACATACTTGGGATTGAACTCCGGGGTGCTTAACCACTAAGCCACATTTCCAGCCCTTTTCTATATTAAATTAAATTAATTAATCAATCTATTTATTTATTTTTGGTCCTGGAGATTGAACTCAGGGGCACTCAACTACTGAGCCACATCCCCAGCCCTTTGTTGTATTTTATTTAGAGACAGGGTCTCACTGAGTTGCTTAGGCCCTCACTAAATTGCTGAGGCTGACTTTGAACTCACCATCCTCCTGCCTCAGCCTCCTGAGCAGCCGGGATTACAGGTGTGCAGTACTGCGCCTGCCCAGCATAGAAAGAGACCCCACCCTGCCTAGGAAGAGACCACTGAATGAAGCAAATGAGGCTGCAGTAGGAAGCTCTGCTAGAAGCTGCTGGAACGTTACACAAAACTAGTAGGAAGGCGTCATTGTCCCTGGTCTACAGTAAGTGACACAGTGAGCATGGTTATAAGAAACTGGTCCAAAGTCACTGGACCAAGTGGGTCAGGGGCTGAAAACAGTGGTATAAGCTGAGAAAGAACCCAGGCCTCTCTCTACCAGCACATTTGTCCCCAGGCACAGAGAAGCCTCCCTCTTTATGCACCTTGTCTGCAGGTAGCTGGCTATGAGTAGAGGCCAGTTGGAGCACTGAGTGGCTGAGTTCCAGGTGCCCTTTTAGAAGAAAGAGGGGGCCATAAGATGGGATGGCACCTCAGGGCTGGGATTAGGTGACACAGAATGTCCCAGCTGAAGAGACCCTTAGGAAAGGCCTACTCTATCTCCAACTTTAAAGATGAGGAAACAGGGGCCCCAAACAGTCTGCCCAAGGCCCTACAATCCTCTCTCCCCTGCCCAAAAGCAAAGATGGTACTTATTATGGGATAAATTGTATCTCTCAAAAAGATACCTTGAGGTTCTAACCTCTGGTACCTATGAATGGGATCTTATTCAGAAATTAAGTCTTTGTAGATGTAATTAAATTAAAATAAAGTCATACCAGATGGGGGTGGGTACTAACCCATCGTGACTGGAGTCCTTATGGTCCTTGGTGACCCAAAGAAAGAAATGAGCAAGACATACACAAGTAACAGGCAAAGTAGATTTACTGAAGGTGACAGTGGAAGTAGCACTCGGTAAGGTAGAGCAGAGCAGAGCAGGGCAAGCAAGAGAAGCTCAGGGCCCTGATGTCTGGAAATTAGTGTCTTACAATGCTGATCTGTGCGGCATTCTCTTCCCCACACAGACCTGATTGAAGACCTTACCCCACTTTCCCCGTTGGTTATCTTATGATACCTGATTGGAATATTGTCTAATTTTCTGCCTCTGGTTACTTTAGAAAACCTAATTCACATCCCATCCAATTTACCTCCATTGGTCATTTTCTTTTTCATTATTTTTTCTTAGGTGGTCTTTTTTTTTCATTTGTTCTAATTAGTTATACAACGACAGTAGAATGCATTTTGACACATCATACATAAATGCAATATAACGTCTCATTCTTCTGGTTGTACATGATGTAGAGTTACACCAGTCGGGTAATCATATATGCACATAGAGTCATAATGTCTGATTCATTCTACTATCCTTCCTATCCCATTGGTCATTTTAAAATACCAAACCTGTGCTGGGAATTGTCATGGTGATAAGTCCTCAGGGGAGGGAGCTGTCATGGTAATGGGATTTACCATAAACAGGGACATGACTCTTCCTGTCTAGTCCTCCATCGGCATCCTTTATACCCTGCCTCCACATCTTGGCATCCTGAACGCCTACCTGACACTTAGAGGAAGAGGAAAATTTGGACACCGAAAGACATGCAAGGAGAAGATAGAATGTGATGACCCAGAGATGGCAGAGACACATCTACAAGGCAAGGAACACCAAGAATCGACAAAAATCCTACCCAGTAGGTTTCAGAGGGAGTGTGGCCCTGCCAACACCTTGATTTTTGACTTCCAGCCTCTAGAACTCCTTCTGGTCTTTCTATTTCTATGAATATCTTTTCTTTTCTCATATCTTGTGTCTTTTTAACTCCTTGGATTTTAACGCGATAAACATTTTTAACATCCACATAACCATAATTTAACTAATCATTTATTTATTTAGGGGGACATGTTTGTAGTTTCTAGGTTGTTTTCAAATGTAGATCTTTGTTCATAAAGCTTTTACAATATTTCCTTGGGATGGAGTCCTATATATAAAATTCCCAGGTCAAAACGTGTTAACATTGCAATGTGGTTCAAGATAATGAGCCCTGTGGCGATGCCTCAAAGTGCCCCTACCTCTGTGGGCCACCTACCTGCCGTCCCACCACCCAGGCTTCCTGCCTCCTTCCCCCCTCTCTCTCCTGATAGCCAAACCCTGTGAGCTCCCTGCATTTTGCCTGCAGCTTTGCTTCCTTCTTGTCTGGGCGGGATTAGGAACCAAATCCATCATGCCCCTGCCTGTCTCCAGCATGGCCCTCCCGCTGCTGAAAGCTGATGACTACGCTGTACTCTGGCTTTTAGCTGGGCCCTGCCCCCACCTCTGGGCTGTAAACCCTGCTAAACCTTCAGACTCCTAGTGTCCTGCTCCTGTAACTTTCAGTGGACACAGGGGCTGCTGGTCCACTTGGCAGATAAAGGGACACAGAGCGTGGTGATTGGGACTGATCAGCAGGTGGTGCCCATAGCAGGGGCATTAAGGCCACCTTCCTCATGGAGCAGGAAGAGGCGTGGATTCATCTTGCCTTAGGATCAGGCTTCAAATCCCACACTTGGGGTTTGGCTGAAATGAGGCCTGGGTATCTCAACCAAGCCCTTTCCTTTTGGTAGGCTGGGGGGCCACACGGTTCTCACTTCTCTGCACCCTGGCTTTCCTAAGCAGGTCATCCAACTCAGTGTGGTAGCAGAGGTGGGAAATCATGTAGGTAACCCCTGGAATAGAGCCCCATCTGAGGGGGACTAACCTCAAGTAAACTCCAGCCCTCCATAGGCCCCTACCAGGGACTGATGATCCACAGTTGGACCAAAACTCTCCACCCACCTCATCCTACCACCTCACGCTGCAGTGCAGTGGGAGACAGCAGAAGTCCCCCCACAGGTTGTGCAGTGACCTCCACAGACCCTAGGGGACCAGGCTGTCATCATAGTCACAGGGGCATGAAGTGGGCATGGAATTCTGGGACTGCTCATGTTCAGTCTGACCCTTGATCTGGCATCAGCCTCCTATCCTCCTTACAGCTTTGAGCAAATAACACACCTGCCTTCTAATATCAAATACCGTGCAATACAAGGTAGACACACTATAAATGGAATAAGAAAACAATTTGAGCCTTCAGGGCAGAGACAGCTGATCTGGCCACCAGGAAAAGCAGTAAGAGGGAGAGTCCCTTCATCCCTCATCACCCCGTCCCAAAGCTGTAACTCAGGGGAAAGAGCAAAATGCTCAGTCCCAGATTCATTTATCTGCATGTTACGTTATGATGTGAGCCAAAACAGTTACTCTTAACACCAGGATTAATTTTTTTTTTTTAAATTTTGTGTGTGTGGTGCTGAGGATCAAATTTAGGGTCCTGCAAATGTCAGGCAAGCATTCTACCATTAAACTACAACTTCAGTCCTAAAAATTCTTTAAAATATCAAAGGTGGTATTTGATATCCCCTCTTGTGGCTGCTCTTTCATTCATTTTCCACCTTGACTCCAAGCATTCTGCTTTTGTTTGCACTCTTGCTCACTGTGGGCCATATGGGGCGAGGCTGAGGAATGACTGTTCTCATCCCAGCTATTACTAGCTGTGGGCAAACTCTTTCATTTTTCTGATCCTCATTTTCCTCATTTAAATAATATCCCCCGCACATGCTGCTTGGTAGACAGGAGGGAGTCAACCAGAGGGGATCTGATCCCGGCTCCAACATTTACTACTTTCAGAGCAAGTTACTTAACCACTCTGAGCTTTGCTTCCTCTTTGGTGAAAGTGGGCAATGTGTCTCTATTCACATTGTATGACTATAGGGAGGATTAAACAAGACAATACCCAGGACTGGCACAGTCAGTGCTAAAGAAATACAGCATTCCCCCTTCCTCCAAGATGTAATTATGGAGCAGCTCATGTTATTTTAATAAATTATATTTATCCTGGAGGTGGAGCTAGATGGTAGAGCATTTGTTTAGCATGTGCAAGACCTGGGTTCAATCACCAGTGCCAAATAAATTTAAATATACTATTCATAACTTTTTTCTTTTTCAAATTGACTCATAATAATGGTACACATGTATAGGGGTCCAATGTGACCTTTCAGTACACGTATACAATGAATAATAACCAGATCAGGGTAATTGTCATATCCATTACCTCAAACATGGATCATTTATTTGTGCTGGGAACACTTTGAAATCCTGCCATCTAACTATTTTGAATTGCTGTCAATCATAGTTATCCTACTGTGCTACAGAATATTAGAAGTTACTTTTTCTTTGCAACTGTACCCCTGTACCGGTTAACTATCCTCTCTCTCTCCATCCCTTATTCATAATATCTTAATCTGTTTTGTTTTGTGTGTGGTGCTGGGGATGAGCGCCACAGCCTCGTGCTGGCTGAACTCCCGCTGTACCACTGTGCTACATTCCCAGGCCCAATAAGTTTTAAGATTCCCACTTCGGACGCGCCGCCAGACCCCACACCGCACTAGGCAAGCGCGATCCTCGCCGTGCCTTTGCCGCGGCCCCGCTTTTCTTTGGAAAGCTTTACTCCGCCTTGGTGCCGGCGTCCAACCTCCGTGCACACCTCTGCTCCCACCGGCAGGCAGCTCCGCGCAACGGGGCCCCAGTCACCCGATCCCACCATGGGGTTGGGGATGGGGACCCGGGCACGCGCGCGCCTGGCCCCGCTCAAGTGAGAAGCCGCGGAGCCCCGCGATGGGCGCATCGACCCGCACTCACCCTCTTCACCAGGAAACCCTCCTTGAGCACGCCGTCCTCCATGTAGCCGCCCGCACGCCCGGGCCACCCCAGGTGAGCTGTCCCGACGCTTCGCGCTTTTCCGCGCCCGCGCAGCCCGCGCCCACTGCGCCCAGGAAGCCGCTCCGACACCGGCGGGCGACGCCTCCCTGGCGCTGGTCCAGAGCCGGAGACCGCGGGGCCTCCCGGGCAGGAAGTCGGGCAGGGCTGGGATCTTTGCCTCCACGTCCCACCTGAAGGTGCTCCAAGGCCGGTGATTAGTCTTAGGTGCAGAGTCTGCCAACCCCGCCCCAGCTTTCTCCGACCTGGCAGGGCGCCCCTGGGGTGCCCTGCGCTTCATAACTCTGCCAGTCTCTGCCCAGTTTCCTCCGCCCCAGATTTAACCCGGTGCTAGCCTGGCACTTGGCATATTGTGCTGGGTTAATACTTACGCAATTAAAGGGCACTGAAAAGATTTTGGAACCTTCCCTGCACTCAGTGGAAATGAAAGTGGGAGGATGGATAGGATGGAAGTGGGATGGCAAGTGTTTCTGGGCATCTGGTGGGGGCAGAGAAGAGTCCTTATTAACCGGAAAGCCACAACTTTTAAGACAGCTGGTGCAGTCTGCAGGGAGGGAGACGGCTGTGCCCAGGAAACATTCTGTCCCCAATATCTGCCATCCCAAAGGGGGGGGGGGGGCTGCGAGAATCAAAGGACGAGAACCAAAGAATCCAGCATTCTGGGCAAAATTTAAGGAGGAGCCAAGGAACTCAATAACGTAGATAAATAATATTTTAGTTTAACATTTTTTAAAATAAAAATTAATGACCATGCATGGTGGTGACAATCCCAGCAACTCAGGAGGCTGAGGCAGGAGGATGGCAAGTTCCAGGCAAGCCTTGGCAACTTAGACCCTGTATCAGAATAAAAAATAAGGGCTGGGGCTGAGGCTCAGTGGTAAGGCACTTGCCTGGCATGTGTGAGACCCTGGGTTCAATTCTCAGCACCACGTATAAATACGTAAAATAAGGATCTATCAACAACTAAAAAAAATTAAAATAAATAAAAAGAACTGGAGGTGTAGCTTAGTGGCAGAGCACCCGGTGGTTCAATCCCCATTTTTTTAAAAAAAATCAGGACTGGGTTTGTAGCTCGTGGTCCAGTGCTTGCCTAGCATGTGTGAGGCACTGGGTTTCATTCTCAGCACCACATAAGAAGAAATTAAGTAATGGTCCATCAACAACTTAAAAAATATTTTTAAAAAATCAAAATTAATGCCCAAAACATCCACAATGAACAGATTATCAAGTATCAAGACAAGATCAACAACAATGCACTACCAAGCCATACCGGCACTGAAACAAAAGGAAACATGAAATAGAACACAGTGGCACATACCTGCAATCCCAGCTATTCTGGAGGCTGAGGCAGGAGGATGGCAAGTTTGAGGCAACTTAGTGAGACCCTGTCAAAGAAAGAAAGAAAGAAAGAAAAAGAGAGAGAGAGAGAGAGAGAGAGAGAGAGAGAGAGAAGAGAAGAGAAGAGAGAGAAAGAAGAAGAAAGAAAGAAAGAGAGAGAGAGAGAGAGAGAAGGAAGAAAGAAAATAGGGAGGGGGCTTGGGGATGTAGATCAATGGCAAGCACCCTTGGGTTCAATCCCCAGAATCACCCAAAAGGAAACAGGAGTAGCAGTAGCACTGACCTGTCTTGGAGCACAGTCACCTTTACCCATTTGCACTCCAGTGTGAAGGGCCCTGTCAAACTTCCCTTGTCCTGTGAGGCAAGGGAAAGGCCCTCAGATGCCCAGAAGGGATGAGAAGACCATAGTGGAAGAAGGGGCCCCCCAGCTGTGGAAGGGACAGGGTGCCTTCCAAAACCAGCCCCACCGCTGCTTCCCAGTCCACCCCGCCCCCCCCCTTGCTGGGCCTTCTGCCACATTGTTGCCCCTGTGAGTCCAAGCCAGGCCCCAGGGAAAGCTGGCAGGGCACTGTGTTGCCAGGATAATGACACACTGACTTTTGGACCTCCAAGTCCAAAAACAACGGGATTTCCACTCTGATTTCTTTAGAGGCACTAGGTTTTACTTGTTTTATTTAATACACAGCAATCCCATGTGGTGGGTTTCTCATCTCAGTTCTTCAGCCTTGAATAACTTGCCCAGAGTCACAGGGCTCCAGAGCATCACAAATGCATTTGCTTCTCGAGGACCTGTCCCAGCTCTGAAAGCTGGCTGGGCTCAAACCCAGGACAGGAGAGACTGGGGAGTTCTAATCCTCTTTGGCTTTGTTCAGCTCCTTCTTGCTCGCAGAAGCTGTCTTGGTTCCACGTTCTGAGGCTTAAAAGAGGTGGAATTTGCAAGAGATGTCTTTGGCAAGAAGGATTCCCAAATGAGTTCACAGAAATGAGAAAGCGAGAAAGCGCCCTCCTACCACCAGCGAGTTCAGCCCTCTGCACACCTAGAACCTTCTTCCCCTCCTAGGGAAGCCCCTGGTCCAGCCCATTCTGTGATTCACTGGACGTGGGGCATGAGTCACACCCCTTCCTTCCCCAGGCTGTGGTGGCTGGGCCACCAACTTACCAGGGAACTCTGCTGACATAAGCCCAGCTGACCACAGGGAGGTGGAGGGACCAAAGGAAGCAAACAGTATCGAGTAGGGAGCCTGCCAGGGAAGGAAGTTCCAGGGCCAGGGTTTCATCTTGTTCTGCAGGCAGACGCTGCTCAAGGCTGGGGCTGAGATAAAAGAGTCCCTGACCCTCACAGCCCTCCTCCCTTTTTTGTCATGAAGGACCAGTTATGACTAGCATGTGTTGGCTGTGTGTCCAAAGCTATTAGGTCAGTGTTTGGGTGAAGGTGATTCACAAACTGATGACATTCCACCATTAGAGAGTCATTTCTTTAGTGAGCATCCTCAATTTAGGAGATATATATATGAAGGGTAAATCGTGAAACTTTATTTGAAATGAATACTTTACTCCAGACACTCATCAGAATCACAGGATCACCATCCAACCCCTAACAATCATCCAATCAGATGCTTCATTTTATAAGTGAGGACCCCCCCCCTCAAAGCCCAGAGAAATAAATTGACTTGTCCAAGGTCTTCATCCAGTTAGTGACAAAAGTAGTGCCAGAATACAGGCTCCCAGAGCTGTGTGCTTCAAGGCTGGTCCCTGACAAACACAGAGGCACTTCCCCTAGCAGTGACCAGCATCAAAGTCCTGCAGTAAGAGAGTGGCTAAGGAGGCCTGGAAGGGGAGCCGTCTACAGATCCAGAAAAGACTTCAAAACAAATTTCTGTAATTCTTAATACCATAAAAATAAATTTGTGCTGAATGTGTTGGCACATACCTAAAATTCCATCAACTTGAGAGGCTGAGGCAGGAGGATCAGAAGTTGGAGGTCAGCCTCAGAAATTTAGCAAAAACCTGTCTCAAACTAAAATAATAGAGGGCTGGGGTGTAGCTTTGTGGTAAAGTGCCCCTGACTTCAATCCCCAGTACCAATGAATTAATACTTCAGTAAATTTGTGCTTATCATAGAAAATTTGGAAAAATACCAAAAAGTTGATTAAACCACTCAAATTCCATCACTCAGACAAATGATCAGGGTTTTGTTTGTTTCTTTGGTACTAGGCATTGAGTCCAGGGGCACTTTACCATTAAGCTACATCCTCAGCCTTTTTTATTTTTTATTTTGAGACAAAATGTTGCTAAGTTGCTAAGACTGGCCTCCAACTCAGGATCTTTCTTCCTCAGCCTCCCAAATTTCTGGGACTACAGCCACCATGCCTAGCTGACAATCAGGATTTTTATTTATTTTATTTAACATATTTTTATTAAATTTTATTTTTTAAAAATGAACGCTATGGGGTTGGGGTTATGGCTCAGCAGTAGAGCGCTTTCGTGGCACATGTGAGGCACTGGGTTCAATCTGCAGCACCATGTAAAAATAAATAAATAAAATAAAGGTATGGTGTCCATCTACAACTAAAAAAATTAAAAAAAGAAAAGAACACTAACTTTATCACTTACAGCTAATAAACATCTTAACAGATCATTAAAATAACCCAAAGCCATAATTTTAATGACTGCATAAAATTTCATTATAACTGTATCATATTTTATATGTATATTTAATCATTTCATTTTGATTGAATTTCATTTTTTCACTATGTAAAAAAGTACTATGATAAATATTATGCATAAACATTTTGCCACATCTCTAATTATTTCAGATAAATGTCTAAAGAATAATTTTAGGTTCAAGGGTATAAATTTTAAAAATTCTTAAAAAAAATTTTTTCTGGGCTGGGGATGTGGCTCAAGCGGTAGCGCACTCGCCTGGTATGCGTGCGGCCCGGGTTCGATCCTCCAGCACCACATACAAACAAGGATGTTGTGTCCGCCAATAACTAATAAATAAATAAATATTTTAAAAAAATTTTTTTTTCTTGTAGTTGTAGATGGACAGAATGTCTTTATTTTTATGCGGTGCTAAGGATCAAACCCAGTGCCTCACACATGCTAGGCAAGCACTCTGCCACTGAGCCACAGCCTTAGTCCTAAAAATTCAGACTGCTTTCTAGAAATATGCCACCTGATATCCTCACCATCTGCATTTGATGCCACTGTTTGATGCAACTGTCCACACCAGCATCAAATACAGCATTTTTAGAAACCTTTGCAAATTTTCTTAGAACCAGCAGGGGCGGTTCCCATTTGCACAGTCTGTGTCACCTCTGTCAGTAGAACTGGCTCCCTTACCCACCTCCTAGGGGCAACCAGCTATAGAAGACTCCTGCAAGAGGCTCAGAACTGGGAAGCTGCTGAGAAGGGGCAGTGGAAGTCCCAGACAAGGGCACCACCCACAGGAAAAGGAGGAAGTATGGAGTCCTGCACACCCAAGAGAGCTCTCTGAAGGTATAGAAAAGCTCACAGGGGCTGAGGGTGTAGTGCAGGGGCAGAGTGCATGTGTGAGATCCGGGATTCAATCAAGGGAAGGGGTGTGGAGTGGTGAGCAGAGCAAAATCAGCCAGGAGAGGAAGGAGCCAGAAGGGCCACAGACAAACCAGAAAACAGAAATTTTGCCTAATCCATGGCTTTGCTCAAGGCCATCCATCAAGTTGCCCAGTTATAGCAGAAATGTATACAGCCCTTCCTCAACTTGAGAT